ATTAGAGGAGTATTTCATAAATGAGAAAATCGTTTGTACTTATGCTTACCTTTCTCTTCTGGCCGCAGCTGCTTTGGACATTCATCATGACCTCCAACCCATGTGTTTTCGGACCACTTGTGCCCATCTATCAGCTTGCTCAAAATGTAATCAACTCTATGATCCTCAACTTCCTTTTTCCATACTAAGGATTCAGGACAATCAGTATCCTCTGGATCCACAATATAGGTGACATCCACCTATAAGATTTTGTTTTTAACGTCTTAGTGAATGTACGTATTAAATTATCATCCGATGTACGTATATTAGAAAGCGTACACACCTGATCTGCAGCTTCGCACTCCAAGATACTGGAAGTCCGGATTGGATGCATTTTGGCCAGATTCTTGATTGACCTCTGAGTGAATAAGTTTACATCTGCAGAAGAAGGAACTAGCTTACGAAGAGATGGGATAGTTTGGAAGGCAAAAAGCTGCAGCGCTAGTGGAAAGCCATAGACCATATAAGACTGCTGCTTGCAACCAATTATCACATCTTCTATCTTTTTAGCGGATTTGAATCTGGATATCCTGTCCAGTGTACGGTTGAAAGCAAGCCTTCCCCATGGGTATTTGCAGAAGAAATCAAGGTCTTTCGTCATCTCAACTGTCTTTGAAACAGGTCGCACTCGCTGCTTCTGACAGATTAGAACACCATCAACAATGATTATCAGCGCTAATGCTAGTCTCTTCCATCCTGGCATTTTTTTCTCTGTCTTCAAGCTCACGACCAAATCATCAATAGTTGGAGACTTATCACCAAATAGAGTCTTCCACACAGTAGTACATCCCTTTTTCACCGTTACCACTTTCTCCACAGCTTTTTTTTTTGGATATTTCCCACACTCCAAACCGGTTATCCGATAAAATTCTCTTAATCCAAACCACAGTGGATGACCACCAAAAACCATCCACATCTCATAACATTTTTTGGTCACTAACTGACGGCAAATCAAGCCAAGAACTAGCTTGCCAGAAAATGATACCATGTTAGGAGGGATATTAAAGAGCTCCCCAAAAGGAGAAGATAGGAGAAAAGCCATTTCTTCAGTTCCTTTAAGGGCTGTTGCAATATCAGCAAGGTACTCCGGTTTGGAATACGCATTGATCTTCGTTTCAGTAGGGTGCTTATCCAGAGCAAAAAGCCTCGGCGGTAACTCTTCACATCCTTCACCAATATTACCTTCTTCAATCGGATCCATGCTTCCTGCAAGTTATGTGTAATAGAAATATGTCAGTTTCTAATATCCATAACTAATTTAACATACAAACACTATAACGAATAAACCCTAGTAGGCCATATACGCATTTTTTTCAAAATCACTTAAAGTAGAAAAATTAATAACTCCAATTTCGCGTACGTACACAGATTTGAACATAAATCTTCTCAATTTTCTATTTTGGCGCAAAAATCGATTTAGTTTGAAAACCCAGAAATTAAATCCTCGATTCGAAATCAGTATCCCCATATTTGGGATTCCTGAATCCCCATTCCCAATTAAATTTGATTTCGGTTTTTACAGATACTTACCCTGACTTGTGCTCTCGGGCTCCGGCGGGGACTCGGAATCTCGATTTCCTTCTCCGGTGAACTATTCGCTTCACCCTTTTTTGAACTTTTCGCTACCTTCGCGCGGCGCCGAGTCTTCTTCTTCAATAGATTCTTTTTCTTCGCCGTCATCTGTACTCCGTTATCTTACTCGTCGGAAATTTCTTTGCTTTTGGTCGTTTCGGCAAAACGGAAAGATAATGAGAGATTTAAAGAGGAATGGAAACGGAATTCGCCGGAATTTTTCCCCCTTTTGGTCGTTTCCAAGTAGAAGAATCAAAATGAGATATTAGATTGAAGAATGGAAACGGTTTGTACTCAGATTTTTTCCTCCTCTTTCTCTTCGCTTTCTTCGCCGTTCTTCTTCTTTTTTTTTTTAATTTAAATTCAAAAATATTAACAAACCAAATAAAACAAAATCAGAGAAACCGAACCAGCACAGTAACGTCTCTAGTTGAGGGGCATTTTCGTCAGAAATCTGGCTAAATGTCAAACCGTGAAACCCTTTCTCCACTTTGTCAATTGGTGAGACAAATGTCAAAAACTGTCCCTTTTTTGAAAATTTCTTTTAAGAGTATCGGGTAAACCTTAAATTATACCCTAATGATGACGTATATATATTATGTGTTATATATGTTGTGTTGTGTAATAATGTTGTTAGCAAGAAAAAAAAGATCAAAAGGATAAGATTTTCCAGCGGCTGACTCAAATCGAACATTTAAGTCTACCTAATTACTCTATCGCATCGCCTAGGGCTTGATTGGTTCTCCCGCTAGCACCCTCCTAGCGGTTGCTAGCGGTTGGTTGCGGTTGTTAGCGGTTGTTACCAATCATGGAAACCGTTCCATACCGTTTCGAACCGCTCGAAATTGCTGAATTTCAAAAGCTCCTTCCCGCAAGCGTTTGCGGTTGCGGGCGGTAGCGGTTGGATTTAAAAAAAAAAAATAATTAAAAAATAAATCAAATGTTTACTTATAATTATTATAATATATATTAATCCTATATATATCTTTCATCTTTCTATCACGTTCTCATAAGAAAACCCTAATCAATATTCTCAAACCCTATTCTCTCAATTATGTCTTCCACCCAAACTGATGAAAATCAAGAATCAAACGTAAGTATCATATATCATTTTATTCATTCATCACTTCATGTGCAACTCTTCGAATATTTTTCATGACATCGTTTTTTCTTTTCATTATGTATTGGTTTGCTTGATGATTAAATATATGTTTTGATTTCTTTTCTCGAATAGAAACTCACTTGGTCAGATGAGAAACAAGCTGGAAATTCTAGAGGCAAAAGTTAGAATTAATAACACTAGAGAAACAAGCTGGAAATTCTAGAGGCAAAAGTTTGAGTGAGAAAGGAAAAGAAAACGTTCTCACAGAATTTAAAAAACAATTTCCACTAACCTTAAATTGGAACAAAATTAAGAACAGACTTGATACTTTAAAGAAGCAATACAAAGTCTATCGTAAAATCACGTTTGGGTCGACTGGGCTTGGAACTAATCAAAGGACAGGAAGTCTTGATGCCCCTGACCATTGGTGGAAAGATAAAATTAAGGTACGTAACCACATAGTTGTATTTATATATTAATTTCTTGTTTTCTATTCTTATTTTGATTGAAATTTGTTTTTGGTTTATAAGGCTTATCCTGAAGCTGCTAAACTTTTTTTTTTTTTTTTTTTTTTTTTTTTTTTTTTTTTTTAAACTGCTAAACTTCGGTCGCACCCACTGCGGTTTATACCACTTCTTGATGTGGTCTTCCGAGATGAAACTGTTGTGGTTGAGGAGTCATGGCAACCAAGACGTGGTGTATATCGTCGTGCTCCAATAATGGACTTAAGTGACAATGAATGGGTAAACAATAATGGAGAAGACAAAAGAGAGGTACCTTCTTTTTCTTTTTGCTAATTAAACGTGTTTCTATTTCAATTATGATAGTAGATTTGGTTAAATTTTGCTAATGATCATGTTGATTTTAGTTGTAATTATGTTTTATTATATCTGTTTTAAGGTGATATTCATGGCTTCCCAACCTAATCTTTTGGCTTCCACTTCTAAAGTAAGTTATTTTTATGTTTATGCATAATTTATAATTTACTGGATTACAATATATAGTTTATTGAAATATATTGAAATATTTCAGAAATTTATGTGGTCTGACGAGATCACATATGCTTTACTTCAACAGGGTATTGTGGAGAAACAAACGGAAGAAGCCAAAGAAGAACCCAAAATCAGATTTCTAAGTGGTGTTCAAAGAGAAAATATTCTTAAGAATATTAACGACCAGTTTGGAATTGATTTGAGTTGGAGCTGTGTTAAAAATCGTTTGGATACCTTGAAGAAATTTTACAATATTTATAAAGGAAATCCAGAAAATCCGCGAATTCAACGTTATTTGCAGTTTGTCCCATTACTTGATGCAATTTTTGGTGTTAAACCAGATGTATAAGTACTATCTTGTTACAAAATTTCTTTATTTTTTTATAATTATTTAGTGCTTTATTTATGGTTTTAATTATTAAGAATGTTCAATTTTTCTAATATTATCATAATAATATATTGGTTTTTTATTTCTTTTTTTTTGTAATATTTTTGAATTTATTTTGGTCATTTTTTTATTTAACTGATACTGCACCCGCTGGTTTACCAGTCATAAAACTCCCGCAAACGCATCCATTTTTAAATGTTAAACCAGTCTTTTAAAACGCTTTGTAACGCTTAAAGCCGCAACCGCCCGCTTCCGCAAACTCCCGCAACCGCTACGTTTAAACCAGTCAAGCCCTTAGTAAGCATATAAAAAATTGAACATGAAGAGACTTTTGTGTTTACAAGCTAAGATAAAAGATGTGTCAAATCTTAAAAGAGAGTTTTTCTCAACTAATATAAAAGAATAGGTGTCAAACGAAATTCTTTATCAACAAACACTCAAAAAGCTAACTGGCTAACATGTCTCGGCTAACAGGTGTCTCGCTAACTCTCACTGTTTGATATCAACAAGTTGAGATCTCACCTGCAATGGAAGAAACCAAATACGTGTCACACAAGAAGATAAAGTTTCCTCTACTAAGAAGACTAGGTGTCAAACAAAATTCTTTACAACAAGCCCTCAAGAAGCTAACTGGCTAACATGTGTCTAGCTAACTCTCACTGTTGTTTACATCATCATGTTGAGATCTCACCTGTAATGGAAGAATTCAGGTGGCTTCTTATACCTTTCACTTGTATCTGTAGATTGCCGTCCTCTAAACACAGAAACTATAACAGGTGTTTCGCTAACTCTCACTGTTTGATATCAACAAGTTGAGATCTCACCTGCAATGGAAGAAACCAAATACGTGTCACACATGAAGATAAAGTTTCCTCTACTAAGCAGAATAGGTGTCAAAAGAAATTCTTTACAATAAGCCCTCAAGAAGCTAACTGGCTAACATGTGTCTAGCTAACTCTCACTGATTTTTACATCAACAAGTTGAGATCTCACCTGTAATGGAAGAAACCAGGTGGCTTCTTATACCTTTCACTTGTATCTGTAGATTGCCGTCCTCTAAACACAGAATCTTTCCTCAACAACTTGGTTATTTCAGCAAACGATGGGGGCTCCTCAGTCCAACACATCTCCATAATCCCAACAAGTATTGCACTGGCTTCTTTTGGAACTCGTTCCCTAAAAACTTCTAGAAAGGTTTCCATGATGTTTCGTGGCTGCTTCACAAAATCATTAGGTTTTCGATCTTCCTCTTTAGCCTTAAGCTTTTTCTTCGCCTGTTCAAGGGCAAAGCTCATTGGAGTCTAGAAACAACAGAACAAAAAAAGAACTTACGTTAGAATAAAATAAGTATCAAACTAACATAATTAAAGAATTTGACTTTTACCTCTGTTGTGATGAGTTCCCACAAGAATATTCCATAGCTAAACACGTCAGCTTTCATAGACAAAGTATAAAGTTTTTGATTTCCCGTAACACCATATCCGGACACTTTAATAACCTAGTCAATGAAAAGGAAAACACAAATCTCAATGGTAAGTAATAAAAGATAAAAATGTGTTTCTAACAAAAGACAAAAACAAAACAAAAGTCACCCTTACACCATCTTTGCTCATTAGAAGATCCGAAGATGTAATATCTCCATGCATAATTTGATGTGCATGGAGAAATTCCATTCCACATGCTATATCCAAAGCAATATGGATCAAAGTAGAGTGATCAAGTACCCTTTGGTCGTTGTGAAGAATTTCGTGGAGTGACCTTGATACGGGGCTCTATAACCATTAGAGAAAAACATATATTATAAGAATAGACAGACGAAACAACAATGATAAAAGAACCACAAAACATTATTCTAAAGAAACAGAATCAGTGAGAATATATTACTAACCAAATATGATCAAGTGATTTAAGGGATCAGAATATATCCCGGAGATTTTAATCACATTCTTATGTGACAACCTTGCAATCTCTCTGACTTTGCACACGTCTAAGCTTTTTAGAAATTTGATAGAAACTTCATTGTTCCTATACTTGCCTGTGAACCTACACAAATACAGAGAATAAATAAATATGCCAATTTAAGAATAGAAAGAGAGTAAAAAGGTGACTTACAAATCATTCCCGAGTACCTTTTCAACTAGGAGGAATGATCTATCAATTACACAGACTGGTGTGCTTCAATTGTTTTGTCAATAGGTTGTTGGAAAGCTCGTGATTCTTCTTCAATCTAAAAAAGCATCAAACAACAGACCTCAACCTTCAGAGAACAGTTAAACCCTAATTAAGCCAGTCCTTGGATGTAAAAAAATCATCAAACTTAAATCATTAAACCCGATTCTCAGGGGACCCCTGAACCTAATTAAGCCGAAGCTAAACTAGTTGATGCTAAGTTCTGAGAAAAAAGGCTAACCATTTCGTGATGGAAATCAGATTTAATTCCATCTTCATGTAATCTTAGCGCAGCAAGCCGTTGCCTTTCTCGTTCGCAGGAAAATTTGTCCATTGTCGTCGTCGTGACTATGTTGAATCAATGAGAGAGATTGGAAACTGAAAACCCTAAATCGGGTTTAATCTTCGTACAATTGTAGCGAGGCTAATCCTTCCCGTTCTCGTTCGCAGGCAGATTCCTCAATTTTCGTCGTCAAATTGAATGAGAAAGTTGGGGAAACAAAAACCCTAAATTTTGACGAGTGTGTAGCAGAACAAATAACGGGAAAGAAGATAAATGTGGCTTACAAAAATCTTAAAGACGTGAGCAAATATATTAGGGCAATAGGGCCTGTAAGTTCGATAAAGTCGTTGATTTCATTTTAATTTTACATTTTACTATTAAGAATTTTTTCAAAAAAAAGGCAAAATTATGAATTTTGTTTAAAAATAAACAGATCTTAGTAATCTAGGCCATACCGCTATTTAGAAAAAGCTGCAAAACAGAGCCACCTGCTCCTGGAAATAAGGATATTCAGCGTTATCTGGATGATTTCAAGTTTATCAATCGTGCAGCCACACACTGGCTGATTCTCTTGCAAAAGAAGCTAGACTTAAAAACTCACCTTATGTTGTATCTTGGCTAGGGCTGTAAACGGAGCGGATATCCGGTTTTTTTAGGATATCCGTATCCGTATCCGTATTCGTATTATCCGCCAATTTGGTATCCGGATCCGGAATTCCGGATATCCGGTATCCGGATATCCGTTAAAAATCCGGATATCCGCGGATATCCGCGAATATCCGTAGACATGCAAAAAAAAAATAAATCATTTTTTCATATAAAAATACTGTATTTTCGTATAAAAATACCGTATTTTCGTATAAAAATACTGTATTTCGTATAAAAATACCGTATTTTCGTATAAAAATACAAAATAACCGGATATCCGTTATCCGTTTTTAAAATTAACATTATCCGTATCCGTATCCGTATCCGGAATATCCGTTATTTTATTATCCGTATCCGTATCCGTTTTCCCGGATATCCGTTTTTTCGGATAAAAAAACGGATATGGATACGGATATCCGCGGATACCGGATAATAATCTCAGGCCTAATCTTGGCTTTGTTAATCGTGTGCTTAATCCTATGTACTAAACTCTTTTTATCTAATAGATAAAGTTGGCCGTCAAAAAAATAAAAAAAAAAAAGTTACTACTGAATACGCTGGGAAAAACGGTCTATTTCCCCCCTAGAACTATCGTATCTGGCCAGATAAAGCCCGATCTTTGACCTCTGTCTATATACCCATGAAACGGAAGTTAAATGTTTATTTCCCCACCAATTGAAAGTTCGAGAGCTTAATGTCCACGAATCCTAAGTTCGAGATTTAAAACCCCATAGCGCTGGGTTTAATTGGTTTACTGTATACCAAACCGATCCTTTAACCAATTAAACCTAATTAGAACCAGCAATTTCAACTAATTAACCACAAATCCAACCCGACAAAACCAACCGACCCAACTTCTTCTTCTTCACCAAATTTTTCCAGAGCTAATATCATCGCTGGAACATTCGACTCTAATGGCGCAGCAAATCGAAACCAATGTGGACAGAACCAGCTCCTCCAAATCTCCTCCTCTCTCTGTATTGCCCACCAACGCCTCTCCGTCTTCCTAAACTCCATCCCATCGGTGGGATCGAGTCGAGAAATCTCTCTCCTCCGGCGAGCCGATGCAATTAGGAGAGGAAGAGAATGGAGAGGCTGAGTTTCCAGAAGGAGCGGCGGTACGATGATTTGGGTGTAACGATGGATTAGGTGACGGCGTGATTTGGGATTCGGAATTTTGAGTGGGGATGAAAGCGGCGGTGCGTGATTGTGACTGGAGAGGCCGAGAGGGAATTGGTTCTTTCATCGGCGCTGGTGAAGTTAGTGCCGTCGGAGATGGTGGTGGTAAACGTGATTGAGATTCTAGATTCGATCATCAATAGCATCGAATCAAATAAATGTCTGACATCGAATCACATACTTCAAATTCGATCTTCTCTTCTTCTAACAGTTCTTACTTATTAGATGACTATAGCAGAGAAAGAGAGAACAGAAAATTCCTAACTATGGCTTTGCAAAGTAGTAAACTTCATTTGTTTTTCTTCTTGAGAAAGATAGTCAATTTTATCCACATTTATTCAACTATTAAAGCTTCACCCAATACATTTATATTACCTCCGGTGGAGGCATCGTTGCCGTAAATTTCTTCTCTTTTTCTTCTTCTCCGGCAACATGATGCAAAATTGGATTTTGGGTTTGCTTGAATTAATTTATTCGGTTAAGTGTTGGTTTTAGATGGTTTAGTATCGGTTTAGATTTTTAACCGGGTTTCGTCTCGGGTTTACGCACTAAACCGACAAAACCATGATTCATGGACATTAAGCTCTCGAACTTTCAATTGGTGGGGAAATAAAAATTTAACTTCCGTTTCATGGGTATATAGACAGAGGCAGTGTTCTAAAAAGCGGTCTAGGCGGTCGCCTAGGCCCCGACTAGGCGCTAGGCTCTTATGCGACGCCTAGATAACCGCCTTGACCGCCTAAAATTACACAGATCTTGTTTAATGTATTTTTTAAATTTTAATTAGAGTTTTATTTATATATATAGTTATAAATATTCATATATTGTTTAATATAAATATAAATAAATGTTTTATCTAATTTTTGTTTATGATTTCATAATTTTTAGTTTTATATAGATATTTTATATAACTTTTATATATAATATCATATGTATAATATTTTATGTTATAAACGTCTAAACCGCCTAAAAAATCGCCTAGACCCCGATTAGGCGTTCTAGGCGCTAGGCATTGGGTCACCGCCCGCTTAACTTCCGTTTCATGGGTATATAGACAGAGGTCAAAGATCGGGCTTTATCTGGCCAGATACGATAGTTTTCGGGGGACTTATATGGGTTTCTCGAGCCCAACAAAATTGGTTACTAAAGCTCGGCCCAACACCAAAAGTATTAGGAAGAGATATGAGATCTTTTTCCCACCTTATAATCTTGTTACTCACTCCCACAGAGAAGCTGATAATTCTTTTGTAGTCTCTGCTCGTTTTAACGGCAATGGCTTCCTCTCTCTCTGCGTTGCCTTTTTCTGATCGAACTTTCCGTAAAAAGCCTTCTTCTTCGAATTTCTTCCTTCGAGCAAGAGCTGCTGCAAAAGAAGTTCACTTTAACCGTGATGGCTCTGTCACCAAGAAGCTTCAGGTTCTCTCGTTCTTCTTTCAGGCCTTTTTTTATAGAATTTTGTTTTCTTATGATGGAAAATGGTGGTGAAGGCAGGTGCAGATATGGTCGCTAAGCTATTAGGCGTGACATTAGGTCCAAAGGGACGAAACGTAGTGTTGCAGAACAAGTACGGACCTCCCAAGATTGTCAATGACGGTGAAACTGTTCTTAAAGAGTTTTTTTTACTTACCTTTTATAGCCACACGCTTCTGATGATGCTCAATGAAATGCCAAAACATTCATCAGTTTTTATTGTGTGGTGTAGATTGAATTGGAGGACCCGTTAGAGAATGTTGGCGTGAAACTTGTGAGGCAAGCGGGTGCTAAGACTAATGACCTTGCGGGTGATGGTTCCACTACATCTATAATTCTTGCTCATGGCCTTATTACTGAAGGTATTAAGGTATACATAATTCCCACTATGACCTATTGGATAATGCATCACCATATCAGCTTCTACTTTTGAACCCATTTTTCTCATCTTCAGGTGGTTTCTGCTGGAACAAATCCCATCCAAGTGGCCCGTGGTATTGAGAGAACCGCAAAAGCTCTTGTTTTAGAGCTCAGGTCAATGTCCAGAAAAATTGTATCATACCTTGTTTATATGTTTACAGACATGATGACACATGTTATAAACTGGAAGAGAATATGAAACTATCATCAGGTACCTACATAAATACCGGGACACTACACTACAACCTCAACAGATTAGACATTTTGACATAAAGGTAATATCTTCCAATGAAATTGAAACCATCTAGGCTTCAGTCTACGAGATTCTTAAGAGACATTACGTGTCAGATCATCTACAGATAACAAAAGGGATCGTCCCTAGCTTAAACATTCTGTAAAATAGAGAAAAGCAAAACAGAGTCACATGTTTATGGGTGAGAGCTAGACTGAACAAAACACAAGTGAGAAACAGAGTACTGCAGCAATATCACCCGTTGTTAGTCCCAAGCTGATACAATTGTACTATACAAAACTCTAGCGAGAATCATCACACAACCAGATAAATATGATACATAATCACAAGGTCCATACTCAATAGTCAATACAAACCTGAACATGACCGTGATCAATAACAATTAAACAAGGGTTTAAGAGAATCATAGCAATATTCCATGCCACGTCAGTATTTTTATAATATAAATTTTCTTTTCTCGCCCAAGTGAAGGAAAATAAAAAAGGAAATCTCGTAAACAAATACAATATAATAAAAAGAATTTCCTTTTACTTCACACCAAAAATAAAAGTAATTTCCTTTTACCGTGGCTGAGGTTTTGATATAAAACCTAAGGACCATCATGATCAAAATTTTCAATATCTTCAAAGCACTCAAGAGACTAAAATCTTTTACAAGGTGTTTTTTTTCTGTTTTTTTGACTAAAGCTTCTGCGATCAGTGTAGAAGATATATATACGATGGCAACTCTTGAAGCTTCTTTCTACGCAGACATTGACGAGTTATCTGACAACGAAGTAGATGCTGGAAAAGAGGAGGAGGAGGATATTGACGTGGACATGGCAGTGTCAGAAACCCTTAACTATGATGATCTCGAGAGCGTTTCTAAGCTACAGAAAACACAGAGATACGCTGATATAATGAAGAAAGTGGAACAGGCTCTCGAAGAGGTGATAGGAACTGATCCTGAATACAAACTAATCGTAGATTGCAATCAGCTGTCAGTTGATATTGAGAACGAGATAGTCATCGTCCACAACTTTATCCGCGACAAGTACAGACGTAAGTTCCAAGAGCTTGAGTCGCTAATACATGACCCAATCGATTATGCCCGTGTTGTGAAAAAAATTGGCAATGAGACAGATTTAACCCTTGTTAATCTGGAAGACCTTCTTCTTCTTAAACCAGCGACTATTATTTCTGTTTCACTTACTGCTTTAACCACGAAAGGGAATCCATTGCCAGATGATATCCTACAAAAGACGTTAGACGCTTGTGATCGGGCTCTTAATCTTGATTCCGCAAGGAAGAAGGTTCTTGACTTTCTTGAAAGTAAGATGGGATATATCGCACCAAATCTTTCTGCCATTGTCGGGAGCGCTGTTGCAGCCAAGCTCATGGGAACTGCTGGAGGTTTAACGGCACTTGCAAAAATGCCTGCCTGTAATGTTCTAGTACTTGGCCACAAGAGGAAGAACCTTGACGGATTCTCTACTGCAACGTCACAGTCTCGTGTGGGTTATCTGGAGCAGACAGAGATTGTCCAAAGCACGCCTCCTGGACTTCGAATGCGCGCTAGCAGGCTCTTGGCTTCAAAATCGACTTTGGCGGCAAGAGTTGACGCTACTAGAGGAGATGCATCTGGAACAAACGGGAAAGCTTTGAGGGAGCAAATCCGCAAGAATATTGACAAGTGGCAAGAACGTCCTCCTGGAAAGCAACCTACGCCACTTCCTGTTCCTTATTCTGAGCCTAAAAAGAAAAGGGGTGGTCGCCGTCTAAGAAAAACGAAAGAAAGGTATCAAGTGACAGACATAAGGAAGTTAGCCAATAGGATGGCGTTTGGTACACCCGAAGAGAGCTCTCTGGGTGATGGATATGGTGATGGATATGGACTGGGAGCAAGAGGCTGCGTGTTTCGAGCAAGCTGAAACTTAATGCTAAGGTCACCAAAAAGCGTCAGAACACAGGTGGTGCCAGGTGGTGCCACTACCTCTGGTTTGAGGACATCAAGTCTGGCTTTCACTCTTGTGCAGGGAATAGAGTTGTGCAATCCTCAAGCGATAGGATTAGGCAGTGGGAGTCAAAGCAGTTACTTCTCAGAGTCAGGAACTTTCTCCAAGTTCAAGAAGATTTAAACTTGAATAGGACATCTCCAATGAATCTCTATTTCTTACAAAGGTTGTGTAAATGAAAACAGTGTTAATTGTTTCTGTGATCTCTTTAGCTATCATTCTTATTACTAGAACAAGTTTTGAAAATGGAACTGAGAGTGATGCTCGACCCAATAAGGATCATTGCTTTCTTTTATTTGCATTATTAGTTTCAGTTCTCTATCTGCTTAAATGATAGTCACTTGACACAACGTAGTGAAATTTTATTAAAGGAATACTAATCCAAAATTCACTCATGAGCTTACTTAGATTAAGAAACCTAAAACGTTCTGAGGTTAATGTGCACAAAAAGAAAAGTTTTATTATGTGTTGGAAAACTGAAATACAAGGAGCAGAAGTTACCAATCGCTCTCCCAGTCAAAAGTGTTGGTTAACACTTCATGGCTAATACGCGTGTTCCACCAAATGCCACTGAAGAAATTCAATAAAGATTCGAAGCATGGTTAGTGACAACTTGTATATGAATTTGAAATACTCAAACTTTAACAGATTCTATCAGCACAGAGCAGAGCATCAACATTACACTCATAAATCACACAACAGAAGAAGACACACTAGTTCATGTGAGCATAACATAAAAGACAGCCATGAGAGCAAGAACTTACAGACAAGTCCTGTATTATCAATGTTGTATCGATTAGATATTCATTGAGATAATCCACTCTTTTGTCTGCATAATAAATTTACATAAACAGAGATATTAGAAGTGGCAAATCTATAGAACATAAGAACCACTCCGTAAGCTTCTTAAACTGGAAACACTACAAAAAAAGTCCACATTGATAGCACTAGACGATAGCGCATTTTCCTGACCTGCTATAATAGATGAGTTCGTGATTTTGGTTACTTTTTAATAGCACCTGATAAATGCTAAAACCAAAAATCCTTAAGCGGGAAACAAAAATGACCTATTCCGCCAACACTTAGCAAAACTTTTCATAAACATTTCTTCCTTTTACCCAAAACGTATTGAGAACTTCTCACAGACTTAGACCTAAAAAAAATTGATTCTCACAGACTTAGTGGTCTCCCTCTCTCATCCTTTCGATCTCACTGTTCTCACTCTATCGCTACCATTTCCATCACTCTATCGGTAACGATGGGTCTATCAACAAATCTCCATAGCCTCAACCTTCGATTCCACTTTCTTCACCGGTCTCTGTTCTTTTCCATCCTAATCCCATCTAATTCATCAAAAAATTTCTCCTATACGCGAAATTCCCCTCCATCAAAGCCCAAGTCTCCACTAATTTTGAAAGGGGATCTAGGGTTTTTCTGATTTTGATTGAATTTTGAGTTTATCATTTCGTCTCTAACGAAATTGGTAATGCAGGTGGTAACGGAGGAGTCAAGAAGCCACATCGTTACCGTCCTGGAACCATCGCTGTTCGTGAGATTCATAAATTTAGTGAAGATGAGATTAGAGCCGAGAAGAATCCTCGCCCATTTGATGAAGATGATATCGCTCTCGTAAAGAATTATGTAAGCGTTTCTTTGGAACCTTATTTGAGTGGTGTTTCAGATTTTGTCGATTTTTACTCAAATTTTCTAGGTTTGGTTTCTTGAATGTGATAGTTTCGTCTCTTTCCTCTAGAGTAATTTCGAGCTAGATTTGTTCTTAATTGCCATTTTATGAGCATGAATTGTCTGTTTTGTTCAATTTCATGCTATTTACTTACTTTGTTTTCTCATGAGTTTCGAGCTAGATTTTGTGCCTCACTGTTTGAATAATTCAAAGTTGAAACTTTCATAATATGAGTCATATACTTTGTTGTATCTTTTAGCTTGCTTGTCGGATTTTGAATTTCAGGTTTGATTCATTGAGTCAATAGATTATTTTCTGTCAAAGCACTATGTTAACAGGTTTAGTTCGCTCCTTTTGGATCAATACATGTTTGGTTCCAGCTCTTTAATGATCGTGAGAGGTTTAGATATGATGCATATTTTCAATTACAAAACATGATGCAGGTTTTCACAAGATGCAGGTTTTCACAAGATGCAGGTCTTCACATGTGTAGGTTTTAACATTATACATAACGGTACCCACCATCAATACTTTGTTTAATGGCTTATGGTTGTGATGCTAACGTTTTCTATTAAAAAAATATGGATGTCTTGATTTAGCAGGGATGATCCGTTGATGATGTTTATGTTTAGTCAGTAACTTCTACTAATTTCAGAAAGTTTTTGTCACTATGTGCATGTCTCCTTTGGTCATTGATTCATACGTGTGTTTTGGCCACAGTTTTGTCTATTTGTTTGCGGTTTTCTTTTTGTCTAGTTCTTTCAATATCCAGAAGCCAAAAGAGAAGAGCTTCTTTTTAGAGCTAGAGCTTCCTATATCTAGTATTCATCTCTTTTTTTTAACCTCCTTAGTGTATTTTGTGTTTTCAGTGTTCTCATAATTTCTGTGGATCTGGTTGTTGTTGTTGTTGTTGTCTAGAAGTTCAAGTTGTGGAGACATGTGACTGAGGCTAAGAAGAAACATTCAGAGAAGTAAAACTCGTTTTGCCTTACCTTTGACTTGAATGTATTGTTTCTATATGTGATATTGTTTTTGTTTTTCAGGAAGGTGACGAAGTCTGATGAACCTAAGCCAAAAAGACTTAGAATAGCCAAGGATACGAAGAAGAGCTCTTCTACCTTAAACATGCCCAAACGACCTCTTACGGGCTTCTTTATCTTCGTGTAATGTTCATCATTTCACACTTACTTTTGTTGATAGTTAGTTGTTTAGTCTTTGGGGATTTTGCTGATGTTGCCTTTCACTTTGCAGGAATATATTCTGTCATTTTTTTTGACGAGAGCATCTAAGTTCTCTCATTAAGGATGTAAGACTTTAACTTAGCTGATTGCTATGCTTGACTCCTATGTAAAGTGTTTATGAGATTTACCAAACTGTGTATTTATATATGATTGTAGGTTGCAAAGATCGGTGGTGGAAAGTGGACGTCTATGACTGAGGAATTGAGTTGCTTTATTATCTTGTTTCTTTGTTAGTTTCATGGCGATTTGTTTCTCTTTGTAGTTTATCTCATAAATTAGTACTTTGTTGTGTAAGAGTAATAGTTAGATTTTTTTGTATAAGACTTGTTATATATGTTTTGTGTAATGATAATTTTTGATAATATTTTTGATAATTTATGTAATAAAAAGAAATTATATATAAATCCAATAAAATAAATATTGCAAAACAGGGTTCAAAAATGCAAATTAAATAAAAATCAAATTAAATTTATATAGCGGAAAAATAATGTTACAACATTTTATAAAATAACACTAAACGTGTGTTACAGTAAAATATATTATAGCATTCGATTAGCGCTTAAATATATAGACATTTAATAACATGCCAAAAAACGTTATCGTATGTGGGGGTCTACCATAACAGGGGCCTAAAATAGCATTTATGAAAACGCTATCAATGACATATTATAGTTTTTCTCTCATGTTAATAATGTAGATATTTCTTGTAGTGAAAGTATGTAAAAAACGATGCGAGAGATTTTTACTACTCTAGACCGGCGAGTGGCTGAAGTACACATATCAACTCATTCAAGGGTGAAGGGTCTTTGCTTGCTTGAGTCCGCTACTAAGCTCTCGGCAGCTTCCATGCCATCTAGGTGTAAAAGAAATCAACACATGAGTTAGTTAAAACATCAAGAGAGTGTGTTACTACCATCCGAATCTAAAATTTCCTCGCCGGAATTGCTTCCATCTTCATTATGATTCTAGGACTCGGGAGTACTTTCCCTCATTCATCTTGTTGTTCAGTTAAGACTTTGAGATGCGGATTGAGATGCAATTTAAAGACATTAATTTGCAGGAAACTATTTGCAACACCTTCTCAAAGTCGCTTTGAGGACAGCCAATCATTTAACACAGTACTCCTCAGTTTGATAGGTTGTGAACATAAAGATAAACAGATGTCACCGCTTGTAACAGGAACATTTTTTACCAGCAGATAACTGCACAAATACATCCACATGACTTGAGCAAGTTGCATCATCTAAAAGATCTTCTAAAAGAACAGAGTTTGCAAACACACTTCTCTGTTGCTATTTTCATGTTGCTTCTGCTCCCATTTTAAAAACTTAAACACCAAAGAATACTACTACTTATGAACTCTAGCAGGAGAATGTTGCAACGTAAGAAACATAAAATAGATCACATTTAGAACTGATCCTGTTCAAGTAAGGTCGTATTTTGCTTTCTTTATTACAGATTTACTGGTGTGTATAACACCAAAATATTGATCTTTTTATATTTTGCGTTAAAATTCCAAAGAATGATCCTTTTGTGCTCCTTTTTCAGGCTTTCCTATAACATCATGTTTTTAGTTCTCATAAACCAATCATATTTGTGCATCAAAGCAAATCCAAGAGAAACTGATGCAGGAGGAAACTATTTGCAACACGAAGATCAGCTAAAAAATTAATGGGCACGTTTAAGGGATGCAATTCATGAATCAGTAAAAACTAAAAACAATAAAAGTCATATCTCTTCACCAAAGCTCTCAAGAATCTGTTTTCTTCAGCATCCTGAACTTTCACAGTATGTCAAAATCTAAGTGCATGCAGCAAAAATTAAAATAAGTTTAATTTCAACTAGAAAAAAACTACGTCGAATTTGAAAGAAGCAAGAAAGCATTCACCTTCTCAAAATCGGCTATAGGCTTCTTTGAGGAAGGGTATTTCTTTCTCTCCCAAGGGGATTGAATTCCGTTTGTATAAATTCCTAGCAAAGGAGTTAGTAAAGTGAGCTAGAGATGTTAATGAAGAATGAGAGACTGACGCCAAAAACTATCATAACGAGATTGAACCTTACCATTTTTCTTTCTATCATCTATGCCATAGACCATAGTATAATAATACACTTCTCGAAGGCATTTGATCCCGACCTGTTCTTCTTGATTCTTGATAGAAATTTTTAATTTTGGAATGTTAAAATGGCAAACCATATTAACGTGTATATAGTCACAGTTTTGATCCGGGCTCTGGAATGTCCAGTTTATAATTCTAATTATGATGTAATCTCGGTTCATTGTTGTTTAATTTGTTGTTATTGTATATAAACATTGTAACAACCTTTTGATCATTCTAATGAGAAAATTTGGGTTTCATCAAAACACTAATATGGTATCAGAGCAAATCTCTCTCAAATTCTCTGAAATTTTCTCGGAATCTTCTCATTTTCTTATTTATTTATTCCGACATATTCCTTCTTATTTATACCCTAGAAAGTTAGTTAGTAGTCTCATTATATACAGTATACAAAATATAATTTAAAAAAAAAAAACAAATCAAAAAGATTCAACATGAGAAAGAGTCTTAGTTTCCAATCTCCCAACGAATGTTGAACTTTTTAGAGATAGAAGATGTCTTTATTTCCAAAATGTATGTTTTGCGTTTTGCATTCTTTTTGTCTAGAAAACCTATTAAGAGTTTTGAGACCACAAATGGTGGAAAAACACTAAGATCATAATAAACACTTATTAAAACAATAGTAAAAGCGGATAAAAATCTTCCAGAAACAACATCGGCCAGATTTTTTATTTCTTTCAGAAACAAAACAATCTTTTTTTTTATGGAAAAATTTCTCGGTCATTTTGGTTATAAAAATTTAAAAACGGTTGATCCTATCGGTTGTAGTGGCGGTTTAGCTCTTTATTATAACAATGATTTTAATGTTTCTATTGTTTATGAAAGTAATCGGTTAATTGATGTGAAAGTTGTGGTAAAAGGGAAAACAATTCATCTTACTTTTGTTTATGGTGACCCGGTTCCAAAAAATAGAGATCAAGTTTGGGAACGGTTAACGCGGATTGGTTTGACTAGGGATACACCCTGGTTTTTAATTGGTGATTTTAATGAGTTAACCGGAAATCATGAGAAAAGAGGTGGTACTCTAAGACATGCATCTTCGTTTATCCCTTTTAATTTTATGATTCAAAATTGCGGCCTTTTGGAATTTCCATACATCGGAGACTGGTTGTCCTGGCGGGGTTGGCGGGATAAAAAACCTATACGGTGTCGTTTGCATAGAGCTTTAGCGAATGAAGATTGGCATGAATTATTCTACAACTCTTTCGTTTAATATTTACCAATGGTTGCTTCCGACCATTCACCGGTGGTAGCTACGCTATTGGATAAGATACCACGTGGAAAACGAATCTTTAGGTTTGATAAGAGATGGATTGGAAAGGATGGTTTAATGGAGGCAATTTCAAATGGTTGGAATTCGGAATCTGAATCAGGAGCAGGACAATTCGTGGAAAAGTTGAATAACTGTAGGCGGGCAATTTCGCAATGGAGGAGAGAACTAACTCCTTACGGGCGGCAAACAATTGAGGAACTTAAATCGGAATTATTTGTGGCACAGAGGGATGACAGAAGATCAAGGGAGGAGATTACGGAATTAACATTACGGTTGAAAGAAGCTTATCGAGATGAGGAACTGTACTGGTATCAAAAAAGTAGGTGCTCTTGGATGAAACTAGGAGATAATAACTCAAAGTACTTTCATGCTCTAACAAAACAGAGACGGGCAAGGAATCGGATTACTGGGTTGCATAATGCAAACGGGATTTGGTCTGCGGAAGATAAAGATATTCAAAATATAGCGGTCTCTTATTTTAAGGATTTGTTTACTACAACCAAGCCCGAGGCTTTTGAGGAGTCTCTGGCTGAAATTCAAAGTCTGATTACGGATCATGTTAATAATTTTCTAACGGCACCTGCTACGGAGAGTGAGGTGAGAACAGCTTTGTTTATGATACATCCAGAGAAATCGCCAGGGCCCGATGCCATGACAGCCTTATTTTTCCAAAAGGCTTGGATTACAATTAAATCAGATCTTCTTGTTCTGGTTAATTCTTTTTTAGAGGATGGAATTTTTGATAAACGGTTAAATACGACAAACATTTGTCTGATCCCAAAAACGGAAAGACCGACACGGATGACGGAATTATGGCCTATTAGTCTATGTGATGTGGGCTATAAAATTATATCGAAGATTCTTTGTCAAAGACTTAAAACGGTTTTACCAAAACTGATTTCGGAAACACAATCAGCTTTTGTCGAAGGACGATTGATTTCGGATAATATACTTATTGCACAAGAGATGTTTCATGGGTTGAGGACTAACCCGACATGTAAAGGAAAATTCATGGCCATTAAAACTGATATGAGTAAAGCTTATGACAGAGTAGAATGGATTTTCGTTGAGAAGGTTCTAAGAACATTAGGTTTCTGTGAGAAATGGATTACCTGGATAATGTGGTGTATTACAACAGTTCAATATAGAGTGCTCCTTAATGGGCAACCTAGAGGACTAATTGTACCAGAAAGGGGATTACGACAAGGGGATCCGCTTTCTCCTTATTTATTCATCTTTTGTACAAAGGTACTAATTGCGAATATTCGGAAAGCAGAAAGGGAAAAACTAATTACGGGTATTAAGATAGCAAATGCAAGCCCTTCGGTTTCACATCTGTTATTTGCGGATGATAGCTTATTCTTTTGTAAGGCAAATAAGGACCAATGTGAGGTAATATTGGGGATTTTAAAGAAATATGAAGCGGTCTCCGGACAGCAGATTAATTTTTTAAAATCCTCGATTCAGTTTGGACATAAGGTAGATGAGGATATCAAGGAGGAAATCAAATCGGGAATCACTAATATCAGTGGGATGGGTTCTTATCTTGGTCTACCAGAGAGTTTGGGTGGATCTAAAACAAAAAATTTCTCTTTTGTCAAAGATAGATTGCAAACAAGAATTAACGGATGGTCGGCAAAATTTCTATCGAAAGGTGGGAAAGAAGTGATGATTAAATCGGTAGCTGCAGCACTACCAACTTATGTTATGTCGTGCTTCAGACTTCCGAAAAAAATTACTTCTAAACTTACTAGTGCGGTTGCTAAATTTTGGTGGAGTTCAAATGGAGATGCACTTAATGGCTTGGAACAAGTTGTGCAATAGTAAATCGGAAGGAGGGCTAGGCTTTCGGAATGTAGACGATTTTAATTCAGCCCTATTAGCTAAACAATTATGGCGGTTGATTACGGTTCCAGATTCCCTTTTTGCGAAGGTGTTTAAAGGGCGGTATTTTCGGAAATCCAATCCCTTGGAAAATATTAAATCATACTCTCCATCATATGGATGGCGTAGTATCTGTTTAGCTAGATCTCTGGTTAATAAAGGACTTATTAAAAGGGTCGGATCGGGGACATCCATCTCAGTTTGGGAGGATCCCTGGATTCCAGCTCAATTCCCGAGACCAGCAAAGAGTAATGGTTCACTTGTTGACCCATTGTTAAAAGTAAACAATCTTATAGATAGTCGGTCGAATTTTTGGAATATTGCTCTCCTAGAGGAGATCTTTGATCCAGAAGATATCGCCATCATAAGTGCCTTACCGGTGGGTGCGCCAACTAAGGAGGATACACTGGGTTGGCATTTCACAAAATCCGGAAAATATACAGTCAAATCGGGATATCATACCGCACGGTTAGGAAATTTGGAGACAAATTTCTCATTGATTGGTCCAGACATCAAACCGTTAAAAGCACATTCTTGGAAAGTGCATTGTCCACCTAAGATACGTCATTTCTTATGGCAAATTTTAACGGGTTGTGTACCAGTTACGGAAAGTTTACGGAGAAGAGGAATCGATTGTGATACAGGTTGTGCCAGATGTGGCGAACCAGTGGAAACAATCAATCATACACTCTTTCAGTGCCACCCGACACGACAAGTTTGGGCACTCTCAGATTCCTACATCAATGAGAATTTTTCCAACGGAGTCTATCTTTGCGAATTTGGACCATTTATTTTGGAGAATACCTTCGGACTTTGACTCTTCAGCCTTTACATGGATTATCTGGTATATATGGAAAGCAAGGAATGAAAAAAAATTTGAAAATATTGATAAAGATCCATTGGAGGTATTACGGTTAGCGGAAAAAGAAGCACAATTGTGGCAGTCTGCCCAAATTGAGCTTCATCATGAAACGCATGGTACTGTAGAATTGGTAAATCGGCCTCGAGTGGGGAATACTTCACTTGACTCGAATTATTCAGGGTACCGTTGCTTTGTGGATGGATCGTGGAAAGAAAGTGATAAGTTCTCCGGTACAGGATGGTTCTGTACATCATCAAACGGAGAGCCGCCAACCATGGGAGCTGCAAATCTCCGTCGAAGTTTATCTCCGTTACATACCGAGTTCGAGGCCCTTCTCTGGGCGATGAAGTGTATGATAGGTGCAGATAATCAAGAAGTAGAGTTCCTTACAGACTGTTCTGATCTGGTTAAGATGGTGTCTTCTCCAACCGAATGGCCGGCGTTTTCAGTGTACTTGGAGGAATTTCAGAGCGACAAGAAAGAATTCTCATCATTCTATTTATCTTTAATTTCTCGCAATGCTAATGTAAAAGCGGATCATCTGGCACAAAAAATTCGTACAGAACCGCTTCATATCACATTTGTAAACAACATTCCACAGGAATGGCTCTTTTGAGTTCTAATTAATTTCGGATGACAAAAAAAAAAAAAAGCGGATAAAAATCAATGTTATTAGGGCTTTATTTAAATGGTAAATAACTAAGCAAGAATGACAGATGAAATAAAAATAAATAACATGATTTTTAAAAAAAATGATGTATTTCTTTAAGCTTTATTTAAATGGTTTGATTTCCAAAAGATTCAACATTATAACTAAGCAAGAATGACAGATGAAAAAAAAAAAAGAAACATGATTTTTTCAAAAATGATGTATTTCTTTAATTTATTCATATGAGAGCATGTATTTATATATAAAAAAATCGACCTACAAAATGAAAAAAGAAAAGAAACTATAGAGTCTGTAAACTTATCTTAAGGTTTTTAACAAAAGAAATCGTGTTATTTTTTCAAATAATGTTTATCTACTGTCTAAAAAAAATAAACGCTAATGAGAGCCACAGTTCTTTCAGCATAAGAATTTAATTTTTGTTTATTTTTAAAATTAAACATCATTTATTATCTACTTAAACACGATTTAACTAATGATAAAACAATCACCATAATATATATTGTTAAATCAATAAAATAAATTTATTAGTATTGCATTGAAAGTTGAAACCATCATCTAATATGAAACAAAAAAAAAGTGTTCTAAAACATTACTTATGTTATAAAACGGATGAAATATAGAAATATAAATGCATGTCATTATTATATGATGTGGTTTCGGGTATAGAGGATTACGGGCTTTGGCTCCGAACCTCTTCGTATTCAAAAAACAAAAACATCATAAAAATAAAATAAAATGCATGTCATTCTAATAGACGTAGCAGAACATTTTGCGTTTCAGATTATTGGCCTCATTAATGACAAGTAGGTTTTGGAAATTACAGACACAATAGATTCTGGTTCGCTTTGGCAATTACTATGAAAACAATCGACGAAACTTACAACGCAACACATGAGCATGAAGAAGTCATAGAGGTATTAAATGGATGGGTTTGACCCATCATGAATAGTATTTGTAGACCCAACATGTTCTTGTCACACCATGATTGAATTAGCTGGGTTGGCAAAAAACCATTAAATTTTCCGGGTCTAGTAGCGATATCAAAAATCTATGAACTTGAAATACTATTTGTTATGAGCGCAAATTTCGGAATTTATTGTAATAATGAGTGGTTGTGTTCCTACTAATCACTCTAGCGAGTGTCGAATAGTGGGCCGTGATTCTTTCAGATTACGACTTCGATCGTTTCATTTCATTTGTAGATGTATAAGCCAAACTCAGACAACGTGCATTTGTATTATACTACAACACTATTTTCGGGAAAAAAAAATGAAGAAAAAAAACAAATTTAGAAAAATTGAAAATTTATTTTATAAAATAAAAAAATTGTTTTATGTATTTTACAAATGCATTTTCAAACTCAGAAATTTGCATTGAATAAAATACTTAAATTTTTATTAAAATCATAATCCTGAGATTTTTTTCTTTTTTAGATTAGCATCAATCATCGATTTTTCAAAAACATAGTTACAAACCAATGCCGATTATTTCGTAGATCATTTGGCAGGAGTTTCCCGCAATTCCACCACGATTTTATTCCCACCGGAATCCAAAAGTTCAAGTGGTTCCAATTGAAACAAATTAGTTTGAACTAAAAATGGAACTCTGGCACACTAAAGTCAGAAGGATACAATATCCTTTCGTAAGATTATGATCTTATTACTATTGCACAACTTTGCTTGGGTTAGATTCTCAAATTTTGATTCATTGGCTCCCTTATTTATTTATTTTACCCCCGTTTGTATTTCCATGTTTTAATGATTCTAATATAGTTATAACATTTCCATGCTAGTGTTTGTGGCTCTAAAAAGATGGAGCAAGTTAAGAACATGCCTAGTATTTTTATTGAGATCTTGATCTCTTAAACGATCCAACTAAAATTGATCTATCAACACATGATCAACTTTAAAATAATCTTATATTATACATAGTTTTGGTCTTTGGTACATTGATGAATCCACATGAAAAAAATACAAACAAATAAAATAAAAATTGAAAGAGTAAATGATAATGAGACCTTTTTGCCCTGTCTCTTTGGCTTTGCAGAATCCTTGATATGTGTAGTTTCCATCTCATGGACCCCTTTCATGTCCTCTTCAACACGTTATGTAATAATAACAAATCTTCTGAGTCTTTTTGTCGTTAATCTACTTAACAATATCGATGTGAAACCAAATTTGCACTGTATTGATTTTTGAAGATTAGGTGATCAGTGATGTATATAGCAATGCAACCGTTATTAATGCCTTAATTTTGTGGGTCATAAAATTAAAAAGAAAAACAAATTGAAGTTTTTTTGGGGACCATGGAATCATAATGCATGTGCAAAGGCATGTGCCTTTTGATTCACTCATCTATCACAAAACATACACTTAAAAGCCAGTCAAACTCATAAAAAAATTTCCTCCTTTGACTGGCTTTTCCAGTTGGTTTTTGGTTACTAATTTAATTAATACTTCTAAAACACACATCATAATCACAACATAAAGCTAGACACATGGCTCTAAGAGAGATTAGAGAAAGTAAATAGAGTTTCTAAAATAGACAAAATTGACAAAAAGCCAAGCTTTAGCAAAAACATGAATAAATGATGTGTTTTTTCATAAGTGATATCATATAGAACCGAATTTTATCAATGAAAAATCACATGATATTTGTTGAAAAACCAAACAAAAACCAATGTATTTACCATTAGATCATTCAAAGAGATATAGGAAACAAAACAAATAATAAAATAAACAAAAGAGAAAAAGACAAATACACATAAAAAAATATCCTAAGTTGTTTGACAAAAGATGATGATGAACATAGAAGAGTAGTGGTGTGACATTACAATACTAATAAGATTTATCAAAAAGATCATCAACAAATATTTCAAGAACACCTAAAAGATAAACACATTGATGAAAAGACAAAACTAATTATTAATGTATTTTTCTCGTTTAAGAACTTATTAGAAACACAAAGATCAAAGTTTTTAATTTATTCAGCTTCTGACAGACAACAAAGAAGGAATTGCACCCAAGTTTGGAGTTGTGTTCTTGCTTGTAGAATCTGAAATTGTACGGCCTCTTTTACCAAACGATGAAGAAGAACTAAATGCTCTCATTGGACTTGCAAATGCCCATCCCCAGCTTCTGTTCCTTCCTCCACCATGACCCATGTTATGATTATGATGATGATGTTCAGCTGATGATGATGATACCCATGATGATGAAGATGAAGAAGAAGACGATGACGTCATTATCATAAACCCACCAAAGATCCCACCACATCTCACCATCTCTCTCACACCATTACTAGGGTTACTACTAACCTTGTTACCTTTGTTATTATTACCTTCTCTCTGTGACTCAACTCTTCTCAAAGTACAATCTCCAAACCCATTAGTGATCCTCTCAAAGAAATCACCAGAGAAGCTTCTACTTCCACACCCAACAGATCTAGATCTTGACACTTTCCTCTCACTTGGTGTTACTTCAATGTTAGGACTTCCATCTTCTTCAACAATCACATCAATACCGTTTCTGTTACTATTACTCCCACCAACAACTCTCTTTGACATTGAAGAAGAAGCTGACGAAGAAGACGAAGATCCCACTGTTGTAGTCTCTGTCAACTCTGTTTTTATCTCAATCTGGCTTGTGGGTTGATGAAAGTTTCCAACTTTTTTACTGCTTCCATGGTGTTTTGAAGAGTAGAGATGAAGAAACGACCAAAACCCATTTCTCTTTCTCGGGCTCAAATCTGAATCTCCGTACGTTGTCTTCGTCGTCCTCGTAGATTGACTTCTCTTGTAAACAATATTCGCCGTGGTTGCAGAAGAAGAAGCAGTAAGCATCTTCTTCTTCTTCTTAGCTAACAAAAACGGAAGCTTGTTGTTGTTTGTTGCTCCGGAGACGGAGAGAGAGAGAGAAGCTGCAGAGGCAGTGGTTGTACTACCAACAGAGTCAGATCTGAAGGAAGGAGAAGAAGAAGTTGAAGAAGAAGAGAGGTGTTTAGGAAGTGGGAAAGATGAAGTTACAAGCTTTCCAAGCTTTTCTTGAAGACAAAAGGCACAGATCCCACCTGGGTTTTTAGTAAATGGATGGTTTATACATTGCATACCATCACCCATATCTTGATCTTTCACTTCCACCATTGATAACCAAAAACCAAAACTTACTTCCTCTGTTTCTGTGTGTGTGAGATGAGAAAGCTTTGAGCTTTGAGTATTATTATTTTGGTTCTCTGCTTTTGAGAGAGAGAAAGAGAGATTGGTGGAGAAAGAGAGAAATGAAGGAGAAGAGAAGAGAGTGGGTTGTGGCAGAGAGAGGGGTCGAGTTCCCAGATGCACGTGGGATACTGACTTGTTTGTGGCCTATTTCTCTAATGAGAGCTTTTTCTTTATTTTTGTGTTTGTGTGTTTTGGGTTTAATCTATTTTCTATAGCTCTTCAAATCTTTTTTTTTTTTTTTTTGTCATCTGATTTATATATAAAAACATAAAAAGATATATTTTGAGATTATATACGCCGGCGGAAATACTGAATATCCTCGGAAACCAAAGCCCAAAAGAGGGAAGCATAAACCGGCGAACGACATAAATATCTCCGGAAACTAGGCGAACTTAAAACACTGGAAATACAAAGCAAATATAGCAACCCGACAACGCAAGAGAACGAAACCATAAACTAAGAAAGAAGCAGAAGGTAAAAACCTTAAGAAAACCAATAGACAAAAGAATACAAGGAAACCACTTCTTCTGAAGTACCTGCGATTGAGATTTACCTAGGATGCCCGCGGCCAATCCTAAAATAACATCTACCTTCTCCTATCACGATGAGAGCTGATCTCTCGAAACCAAGAAACAAAGACTTCAGAACCCGGCAAGCAAAACCTATGAGTTGAGAGAACCTCGAGCACGCTTCCGAATACGACTATGACGACTGCCACGTCCAACAATGTCTAACTAGAAATCATCAAAAGACAATCTTATCTAAACAAATTCAGGAAAGCAAGACAAGGAGAGAGGCCCAATCTCTCAAATATCACCGATCTTTTTTTTAGCTCTTCAAATCTTCTAAAAGGTTTTTTTTTTTTAAGACTAATCTTTTTTGGTTTCTCAATAAAAATCATGTTTGGGATGGGACTAAAAAAGTTTATGGTTTAGTGTGTAAATGTAACCATACATCCACGTGGCTTTTTCTACTATTTTGGTTTTCATTATTGTTATTGAATGCTCTTTGTTGCTGTAAATCTCCGGACCTGCTACAGGCTATATAGCCAAAGCTAAACTAGCTACACTAGTATTCATGTAAAAGAAATGTTCAGACGTGGAATTTATTTTTTCTTTTCTTTTTCTTTTTGATAACTTAATAATGTAGGTTGAACATTTTTCTTTTTTAAAATCTTGATACCCAAATACATTTCCACTTTTTAGATGATTATTATCTTATGTGTAGGTATGGACGTTCGGATCTTCGGATCGGATTCCGATCGGATATTTCGGTGTTCGGATATTTCGAATTTAGAAATTTAAGTTCCGTTCGAGTATTTTACAATTTCGGATCAGATTTAGAACTTAATCGTTAGAGTTTTAATTAATTTAGTTTTATTTTCTGTTTAATAATTTGGTAATTTTTATTAGTTTTCTCTTTTCACATGGTTTTTATTTGTTTATTTGTTTTATTAATGTTAAATTTGTTTCCTTTTTAATAATTCAAATTTATCTATATAAAGAAGTCCTAGATATTTGTAAAAAAGATATCTTATAATTATTGTTTTTGTTGATTTTCTCTTTTTTAGTTGATTCTAGAATTTCTTGTGTATTATAGAATTTTATCTTTCAAGTTCATCATCTGTAAACTTGTATTTTTATCTAGGTTAAGCGTATGTTTTACCTAGATTTTCTGAATATGTCACTTGGGTAACTTGTGTCATTTGAAATATCTAACTGGTGTCAGATAATACTTTGTGGGCATTTTACATTTCCGGCTAATTTTGATCCTTGTACACCGTTGTAGTCCGATGTTCCATTTCTTATTTTTTAATTAGGATTTTTTTAATTATATATTAAATAAATAAAAACTTAGTGCATGTTGTAAAAATAATTTTTTTATTTAGTTATATTACTCTCTAAAGTGCACCTTCACTCCATTTCTCTTTTCGATTCGTAATTCAGTAATTGACTCGATCAGTAAAATTGCTATTGATTGTGAAAATCAATACATTACAAATATGGGCCGAACGGAGAATCCAATGGTGATTATTGCCCAGTTTGCAATAAGGATCGTTGGATGGATAAGAGGAGACTCCGAAATTGTTTTGTCTTATTCTAAAGAACATAGGGAAAGAGATGGGAAAGATGTCACGCCACCTTGAGAGCACACTACCTACGAAGTACGAACTATATATTTCCCAATTGGGTGAACGACTTGTGTCCTCCCCCGTAAGTTTCATATAGTACCATAACAACACAGATTTCGGGTCTCGTCTCCAGTCCACACAAAACGAAAGTTAAACTCCAGTTTCCCCCTAAATCGAAAGTTCTAGACCTCAGTCTCCAAAATTTCAAATTTCTTGGTTTATCTTCGGTTTACTGTGCCGGTCACACCATTAACCGCTTAACATCGAAATTAAACCGAAATTACCCAGAAACCAACCCGATTATTAGATCCATTACACCCGATATTCCCCAAATCAAACCCTAGAACCCTAAAAACGAAAAATCCCCAAATTGAACCTTAGAACCCTAGAATCAAAAAATCCCCAAATTGATGGATTCGAATGAGCTTGATACGAATGCTCTCGTCGTTCATGCGGAGGCTACTGGAGTTGGTCCGCAAGAGGAAGGAGATCCAGGAGATAATGGACCTGATAATGTACCCGATGATGAAGACCCAAGGGAGCGAGATGCTTTTGAAATCGAGAAGGCTGTAATGGAGTTTAGAGACGAACCTTCGATTCTACATGATGAGTATCCAGACAGTGAGGAAGACGAAAAAGACGAAGCTGCTCGGGAGAGAAAACGAGACAACATTAGAGGCGGAGGTGGGAATTTGTACTATCACCAGACATTCTTCAGTGCCATTGCTTTTAAAGAAGCTGTTCTCGACCATGCTTTGAAGACAGGCTGCAACATCGCAAAATACAGGTATGATAAAACGAAGCTTGGATTTAAATGTGATGGGGATGGATGTATATGGCGGATATACTGTGCAATCACGAAGAAATGTTCTAAGTGGAGAGTTAACGTGTACAAGGATGTCCACACATGTAATCCGAATGGAGATTGTGAGATGTTGAAGGTTCCTGTTATTGCTAGGTTGTTTCTAGATAGTATTAGAGATGAACCCGACTATTTTCTTCCTATGAAAATTGAAGAAACCATTAAAAGGAAATGGAAGATCACAGTTTCCAGGCCTCAATGTCAAGCTGCAAGGAGAAAAGCATTGAGATGGATAGAAGAGGAAAATGATAATCAGTTTGCTAGGCTTCAAGACTATGCTGAAGAGATAAGAGACTCCAACAAATATTCAACTGTTGAAGTGCAGACTGTGACAAATGATGCAGGACAAGAGGTATTTAATAGGTTCTATGTCTGTTTTAATGCGATTAGAGAACATGGAAAGAGACTTGTAGGCCATTGATTGGAGTGGATGGAACTTTTATCAAAGGAAAGGTTAAAGGTCAGCTGCTGGTTGCTTTAGGTAGAGACGCTGATAATGCTATATACCCAATAGCATGGGGGTGTGTTCAAGTAGAAAACATAGAGAATTGGGTGTGGTTTGTGAGGAAGCTGAAAGATGATTTGGGACTAATGGATGGTGATGGTTACATCATAGTGTCTGATCGTCAAAAGGTAATAAGCTTCAGATTTCTTCACATTTAAGCATTTATTATTTCTGTTTCATGACATAATAAGCTTCTGATTTCTTTATTTTACAGGGTTTGATCCGAGCAGTTGAGCTAGAGCTACCAAAAGTAGAGCATAGAATGTGTGTGAGACACATCTATGGTAATCTGAAGAAGAATCATGGAAAAGATAAAGAGATGAAGAAGTACATTTGGGATGTGGCATGGAGCTACAATGAGAGCAGCTTTGAAGCTCACATGACTGAGCTTTACAACTACAATGCGGCAGTTTGGCGTGATGTTGTCAAGTCAAAACCAAGAACTTGGTGCAGGGCATTCTACAAGCAAGGAAACTACTGTGAAGATGTAGAGAATAATTCAACCGAGTCCTTCAACAACTCCATTGTAAAGGCTAGAGACAAAGCATTTGTGCCAATGCTGGAGACCATTAGGAGACTTGCAATGGTCAGAATCTTCAAGAGATCTGTGGAATCTAGTGACCATAATGGGAGATGCACGCCATATGTTGGTAAGTTTCTTGCCAAGGAACACAAGAAAGCTTCAGAGATGAATATAAGAAGAAGCACCAATGACATGTATGAAGCTACCAGAGGATTAGATACTCATAGGATAAGCTTGACTGATAGGACTTGTACTTATCAGAAATGGCAAGTCTGTGGCATTCCTTGTGAGCATGCTTATGGAGTCATCTTAGAGAAGAAGCTTGAGGTTGAGGACTATGTGTGTCACTGGTTTCGGACAGCTATGTGGCAGAAGAACTACAAGGACGGCCTGTGGATGTCGGATTCACACACTCAAGTATTTTGTTAAGTGGGAAAGATTATTCTTGAGGGACAAAAATGAACACGTAAGAACTTGTAAATTGATGCGAAAATTGCTATATTATTTCTCTCTTGAGAGGAAGATCCCCTTTACATGGCCATTGGCCTCTATATTTATACATAGCTAAACGACATTTAAAATGAGTAATTAAATACAATTATTTCTTCTTAAATGTGTCCGTTTTGATTCTTCGGCTTTAATGCTCAACGTTTGAATTTGAGTTGACCCTGATCTTCATGGGCCTCGCCTCTTTTGGCCCAAGTGTCCTTGAACCGACTTACCCGTGTCTTCTACACCGAACTCGTGTCACAGTGAAGTCACTTCGGATTCTCGAAATGGTGACAACCACTTCGACCGTCCCTTCAGCTCACGGGTCCAATGGGCTTCATCCTTTATGGGCCATTATCCTGATTACGTGGCAATCTTTGGTTGGTCTCGTACTTCTGGTGCGGGATCCGACACCAACAATTAGCCCCCCAAGTTCTTCGAAGTGTTATTCCAATTCGGAGGACTTTAAATGCTCAAGTGGCCAAAGATTGCGCTCGAGAATCTTTCTGATTTCCCGCCGAAAATCTCATCACTCCTTTAATTTCGGCACTAGCCATTTTTAACCGAGTGACATCTGTCATCATTATGACCGTATATTGATTAATTACTATTAAAACGGGAAAAACCTTCCCACTTCCCACACGACTTTCGAGGCGGTTTCATCATTAGCTTGAGGTAACTTCTTTTCACCATTACTCTCT